CAGACAAGGCGGCAGCGGCAGCCAAGAGCGAAATCATGAAGGGAGACAATCTTCACAAATAAGGCGGCAGCGGCAGCCAAAAGCGAGATCATGAAGGGAGACAAGCTGAACAGACAAGGCGGCAGCGGCAGGCAAAAGCGAGATCATAAAGGGAGACAAGCTTGGCAGCCAAAAGCGAAATCATGAAGGGAGACAAACTTGGGAGACAAGGCGGCAGCGGCAGCCAAAAGCGACAGCATGAAGGGAAACAAGCTTCACAGACAAGGCGGCAGCGGCAGCCAAGAGGGAAACCATGAAGGGGAACAAGCTTGGGAGACAAGACGGCAGCGGCAGCCAAAAGCGAAGTCATGAAGGGAGACAAGCTTGGGAGACAAGGCGACAGCGGCAGCCAAGAGCGAAATCATGAAGGGAAACAAGCTTGGAAGACAAGCCGGCAGAGGCAGCCAAGAGCGAAATCATGAAGGAAGACAAGCTTCACAGACAAGGTGGCAGCGGCAGCCAAGAGCGAAATCATGAAGGGAGACAAGCTGAACAGACAAGGCAGCAGCGGCAGCCAAAAGGGAAAGCATAAAGGGAGACAAGCCGGCAGCGGCGGCCAAAAGCGAAATCATGAAGGGAGACAAGCTGATCAGACAATAGCGGCAGCGGCAGCCAAAAGCGAGACCATGCAGGGAGACAAGCTTGGGAGACAAGCCGGCAGCGGCAACCAAGACCGAAATGAGGAAGGGCGACAAACTTGAGAGACAAAGCGGCAGCGGCAACCAAAAGCGAAATATAAAGGGAGACAAGCTTGGGAGACAAGGCGGCGCCGGCAGCCAAGAGCGAAATCATAAAGGGAGACAAGTTTGGGAGACAAGCTGGCAGCGGCAGCCAAAAGCGAAATCATGAAGGGAGCCAAGCTTCACAGACAAGGCGGCAGCGGCAGCCAAAAGCGAAATCATGAAGGGAAACACGCTTGGGAGAACAGGCGGCAGCCAAGAGCGAAATCATGAAGGGAGACAAGCCTGGGAGACAAGACGGCAGCGGCAGCCAAGAGCGAAATTATAAAGGGAGACAAGCTGAACAGACAAGGCAGTAGCGGCAGCCAAAAGCGAAATCATGAAGGGAGACAAGCTTGGAAGACAAGTCGGCAGAGGCAGCCAAGAGCGAAATCATGAAGGGAAACAAGCTGAACAGACAAGGCTGCAGCGGCAGCCAGAAGCGAAATCATGAACGGAGATTTGCTTGGGAGACAAGCCGGCAGCGGCAGCCAAGAGCGAAATCATGAAGGGAGACAAGCTTGGGAGACAAGCCGGCAGCGGCAGCCAAGAGCGAAACATAAAGGGAGACAAGCTGATCAGACAAGGCGGCAGCGGCAGCCAAGTGCGAAATCATGAAGGGAGACAAGTTTCACAAACAAGGCGGCAGCGGACGCCAAAAGCGAGATCATAAAGGGAAACAAGCTTAGGAGACAAGGCGGCAGCGGCAGCCAAGAGCGAAATCATGAAGGGAGACAACCTTCACAAACAAGGCGGCAGCGGCAAGCAAAAGCGAAATCATGAAGGGAAACAAGCTTGGGAGACAAGGCGGCAGCGGCAGCCAAAAGCGAAACCATGCAGGGAATTAAGCTTAGGAAACAAGGCGGCAGCGGCAATCAAGAGCGAAATCATGAAGAGAGACAAGCTAATCAGACAAGGCGGCAGCGACAGCCAATGAAGGGAGACAAGCTTCACAATCAAGGCGACAACGGCAGCCAAAAGCGAAATCATAAAGAGAAATAAATTAATCAAACAAGGCGCCAGCGGCAACCAAGAGCGAAACATGAAAAAAAAACGAGCTTAGGAGACAAAGCGGCAACGGCAGCCAAAAGCGAAAGCATAAAGAGAGACAAGCTTAAGAAACAAACCGGCAGCGACAGCCAAAAGCGAAACCATAAAAGGAATCAAAGCAGCAATAGCAGCCAAAAACGACAATATAAAAAGACACAAACGTAAAAGACAAAGCGGCAGCGACAACCAAAAGCGAAATCACGAAGAAAAACGAGCTTAAGAAACAAAACAACAAAGCGAAAGCACAAAGGGCAACAGCGCCACCCAAAAGCGAAATCATAAAAGAAACAAATTAAACAAACAAAGCGGCAGCGGCAGCCAAAAGCGAAATCATAAAGAGAAATAAGTTTGGAAGACAAGGCGGTAGAAGAAACCGAAATCGTAAAGGAAAACAAGACCGAAATCATAACGTAAAACAAGCTTAGAAAACAAAACGACAACGACAACCAATTTCCGCAATCAAGAACCCATCCATTAAGAAATAAGAACCCCCTATAGCTTCGCTATCTAGGGAATAAACACATATAATTATGCATGCTTTCAAAAAGCATAAAAAAGTCAATAAGGCGAGAATTTTCGTAACGGCACAATAATGCGAACACTGCCTATAACACTACGAATTCCATTCTAACCTCATCAACCATATAAAGAAAGAAAAGACCATTTTAATTTTTACCACCAACGTAGATTAATAATTAAATGGGAACCTACGATTAACAATAAAGCTAAATGCAAAAGAAAGTCACTCTTAAAGCAGCCTTACATCCAGGCCGAAAGACCCCAATACCAAGAACCTAAATCAAATGCAATGGGCACGGAAATTAAAGTGCTACGATTTCAAGAGCAATGGAATTTGGCTATGTGGAGTGATAATACCACTGCTCCGCTTCTTAAGCGCTTATGGGCGGCGACGATGACGACCTTTTTGTATCTTGAAGAGATCCATGAGGCCTTTGATGTATGGATATCACAGCAGAATGAAGCTCTTACCCTTGCTTCTCTTGCTGTATGTGTCCAATTTCGACGATTGGCTAGAGTGGAATGGTTGCTTTCGGGTGCCGATACCACTATTGCTACAAGTAAATCCATTTCTATGTTCTTCCGGCATGAGGCCGGGTTGATGCATGAGCTCCTTGCCCCTGTTCCGAGAAGTGTGAGCTACTCACCAAAGGTTTTTGCTCATCTTTTTTCAGGAGCTCGCCGAAAAGGCGATTTTCAGCAGCACGTTGAAGCCCTGCAAGCCATGGCCACCTCGGTTGACATCATCTTCGACCTAACATGGGGGAACCTCCTGCAGCCTTCGACCTTTGAGCTGTTCGCCAAGGCGATGCACGAACGTGTGCTCAGCGGTTTCCTTTCTGGACCACCGTGTGAGACTTGGTCTCGTGCACGGACTGCGAATGATGAAAGACCCAGAGTTCTTCGCAGCCGAGATCGGCTCCAAGGCTGCCCTTATTTGACACGTCGTGAGACTGAGCAGGTTTGCATAGGGAATCAACTTTTGGGTGTTACGCTCAGATTGTTTTTGGTTGCCCTTCTTATTGGAGCGCTTGCTATTCTGGAACATCCAGCATGTCCTGACGACGACCTTTCACTCCCAGCGATTTGGCACTTAGATGTCATTCGATGCCTTATGCGGTTCCCAGGGTGTGTCAAATTAAGGATCTTTCAAGGCCTCTACGGAGGTCTTTCCCCCAAAGCCACCGACTTACTTTTCGCAAATTGTGGAACGCATGAAGAGATTAAAAGCCATTTTTGCTCTGCACGAACTACGCCTATGCCGGTGGGAGGCAGAATTGGCCGTGGAGCTGATAGGAAGTGGCGAACGGCTGTTTTAAAAGAATACCCTAACGGGTTGTGTAGAGCGTTTGCCACACTCTTCATGTCTCGATATGCACATCTTGGTCCTGTACAGGAATTGCCCCTTTAGTTTGTTTCGGCTATACAGAATTTGAAAGCTGATTTTAACGAGGAGGCGGCAATGGGACCTGATTGCTTTCGAGCTACTTTGTTGGACCCTACAACGTCATTAGTAATTAAGCATGTACGGTCACAGGCATTTGCCTTCGGCTTTGAGGAAAAAAAATAAGCAATATATATCAAATGTTTATATATTTAATATGTTGTATTAATTCTTTGTATTATATAATAAATATGTTGGTATAATTTAAGTGGCACACATAGTAGAACCAAATCGGTGCATAATTTTGAGTAGGAATCCATTGTATTCCTACAATGTGTTCGGGCCATCTTCTCGCAAGGCGTGTTGATTGCAAAATAACATCAAACGTCCAATTTTGCTTCAATGTGTTTTATGTACATCGGTTCAAGCCAATTATGGCGGCAGCACGTGGCATTCTGCCAAACTCCGCCCAAAGGTGGTGTAGTCATGCCTGCATTGGGTTGTCGCGCTGCGCATCTCCACGACTGGGTGAGTTGGATGTGGAGTCTCTCGATACTAGATACGATCAAAAATAACAAGACCTAGGCTGGCCTAGATTCAAAAAGAAAGCTTTTTGGGCCTCCAAAGTGCCCAACGGGCAGCCCACTCTTTTGCAAGCACGACTGCATTCTGGCTCTTTCCCATCATCACACGTACGTGTGATCCATCCCTTCCTTCCCTCAGTCCTTTCGGTCCCTTCGGTCCCTTCGGTCCCTCCCGCCTGGGCCCCGCGTGGACGGTGCCATCCTTTCGGTAGATGGCGGCCGTGCTGCCGCTCACGTGGGTCACGGTGAAGTGCTCGCCGTCCACGTCGCCCACACGGAAGCTGCCCAGCTGCACGAAGCGGTCCCCGAAGCTCACGCCTGGCAGATGCTTTTGGTGAAGAAGAGGCTCCAGAGGTATTGAAAAGGCCAAAAAATGATGTTCTTGGAGTGAAGTAGGAGATTCTGAACAATGACGATGTCTTAAAGAAAAGCTGAAGTTGGGTCATTGTTGCTGGGACAGTTTCTGCGGCTGTGTTCTTATGAATACCCTTTTGCTGGGGGTTGGATTTTACCAAAGGAAAGCGACTAGACAATGACTCTGTTCAGCGGATTGATCGTCACCTCTATACGAGGGACTTGGAGCAACCACTTCGATTCATTATGGGTTCCTGGGCCACAGAGAGGAAGTACTATTGTATATTATATATCTTTGGTTACAGTAAGTGACGTGTGTTGGGTTAAGTGGCTGGTTGCTTGGGGTCATGTATGTGTACATATAGAGAGATCATCAGATTTATCTTAAAATAGTTTGAGACCTCCAATTGAGCGCGGCGTTGAGTTCTAATAACAGAGTCCCTCGAAAAAGAAACCGACCAACCATCCATCACCCCAAACCAGACCGAAGTTCTCTCCAAACCCAACATTCTCGCTCCCAAAAGGAGTATATACTGAGTTCTCTTTTGATTGCACCAAGGTTTCGCTCCTCTTCTGGCCTCCCGTCGACCCCTGTCGACCCACCTTGTCTACGCACCCTGTCGACCCTTCGGTCCGCCTACGGGCTCTCCAGAGGGGCGATGCCAGAGGCTGAAATCGGTCCGGGGCCCTGGATGCAAAGTTCCATGGCCTCGCATGGAAATACAAGCCCTTTTGAGAAATCCCTGAGGTGGATCTTGACTGGCTTGGAGTTCATTTACATCATGTTACACTGATGTCGCACTTCCATTGTTTTTTGGTTGCTTGCCTTTGTCAAACATGTAATAACATGTAGACACCGGGCCTGACCAGATTTGCATCGTCTGCCCGTAGACAGAAGAGATGGACAAATGGTTGCCATCCACATCGCCCAATCTGAAATGTCCTTGAGGTCACTGGCGAAACCAAACACTCCAGGTCCGGATGAAAAGGTCACCAAGAAAGCTGCGATTTCGACACACCTTACCAAACTTTTTTGGCTACCCAACAGTCAAGAGGCATTGACTACTTGCTGCCGGAGGAGTGTTTCTCTTTTTCTTTGGAGGGTGATGTTCGGGTGACCTGCCAGGACCCTCCCCTCCCGCCACCAGTCGTCACACAGCCCAGGCACCAAACTGGATGAAGCGATCGCCGAATTGGATGGGATTCACCGGCTCCAGGCCCCAAGACCAGATGTTGAAGTCGGTCCGGGGGCCTGGATGAAGCGTTCCATCCACCCCGTGGAAGATCTGAGCGGTTTGGCCCCCCTGATGAGAGAGGCTAAAGTGCCTAGCGTCGACCTGGCGAAAAAAAAACGCCAGGTAAGGTCGACAGTGTCCTCCCAAAGGTGCTGACACTACTCTGTGAGTCGTTTGAGGTCCACATTTAAGTTCATGGACACTGTCCATGGTGATGATAGGTACTATCACTATCAGAATCTATGAAATTGAGGGGAACCGCAACAGACCCAACAAGCAAGAACGAGACTCTTTTCCGGTGGACATAAAGCCTCCATCGAGTCTCTGGCTCCTAAGAGTCGAGCATTGGGCGTCAGTGCATTTTCACACCGGCCCTACTCTAACGGCCAAGCGAGACCAAGAGAACGTCATGCGTTGTGCATTGAGTTCTATGGCCCTTTTCGGAGAGTGACCAGTAGCCTGAGTTACAAACACGCCTAAGAAAATCAGAATTCATCTTTTTAGTAAGGGGGTCCGCGATCATGTTATCACCAGCAACCCAACGTAAGGAGCCCCCCCATCTATAGAGATCGTCTTTTAAGATGGCTATATCAATTGCCGTTCTCTTGTCCTTGGGGATACGTACACACCAGTTTGTTGATGCAGTCGTATAGCGACCGAGAGTCCACTACTGAGACGTAGGGGATGGCTGCCAAGCGCCGTTCCCAGTCCTTGGTCTCCATGGTCGTGCCTGTGAGCTTGAGCAGGAGGTAGCGGCGCCAATGGATATGGCCAATGCCATAGACCAGCGACTGGCATTCGGCGCTCAAGGCGTTTACTGTTTTCCTTTTGAGCTTTGTTGACTTCCATGAAGTCACTGATACCATGTGTGGTTTCTCTTCTGTTTCCATCCTCTTGTCATAGAAGATCATCACATAGCCTCCTTGGCTGCTGCAATTCATGAGCTTGAGGAAGGTGTCGTTGATCTTCCCATGTTCTAGTTCATGTCCAGGTAGTTGCTTTGTGAAGATGGTCTTCCCAGTCCATGGTATGTCAGACCATGTTCTGGCGCTATTCCCCTTTGTCCATTCATCTTCTAGGACTTCTTCGGTTGTTGTCACCGTTTTTCGGCCGGCCTGATTGTAGATCATGAAGATCTGGTCCTGGTTCAGCTCCTGGGTGGAAGAGAACTCTTCTAGGAGTGACATGATGTCGTATCCAGTGAGATGGTTTTTCTTCCCAATGGTCTTCTGAATTATGTTCCAGCTGATCTTGGCTTTTTGCGTTTGACCATGAAGCATCAGTAGCTACCCCGATTCTCGGGTTCTCTGGTCTGATTGGCATGATCTTGACGCCGCCCCGCTGGAGGGATGCTTCCGGGCTTCCTGAGTGATGGAGTTTGCCTCGATGATGTCCTTGATACGTGGTCGTGGGAATACCTGCTGGTGTAGAGCTACTCGTCCTGCAATGTCAGGTCGGCTTTCCTTGGCTAACCAGGCTAAAGCTCCAACACTGGCACGGAGTTGAGTGATTTCTTTTTCAAAACAAAAGGTATACCGTAGTATACCTCTTTTTCTTTCGTTGTTTTTCCATGTTAATCTCGAAGAGCTTCTCCTGGATGTAGTTCTCCTGGTTTACGACAACGCTGAAGTCCTCATGTTGTGTGAACATTTTGCCGGTGAATTTTCCAGATCCATATTGGAACTTTCCAAGTTTGTATTTGTTCTTGATCTGGCCCATCGCCTTCTGGTGTTCTTCATCACCTCCGTGTAGAAGGTCGTCCGTTGCTACAGCAATGACGCCACTGAGTACTGTTTTTCCGCTCTGGGAATTGTGCTTGTGCTTGTAGTAGATGCGTGGGTCTGCTAAGGACTGTTGGTACTGCAGTTGGTCTGTCAAGAATTTCTTGAGGTGATTGTACCATGCAAGTGGTCCATCTGTAAGACCATAGCAGACCTTTTCGAGCTTAAGGAGCTGGCTTGGTGCGACTCCTGGTATCCCTTCGCGCGGGGGAGTAGCACACAACAAACGGTCTATTGCGCCTCCACTATGGAAGGCTTGCGTGAAGTCCAGAAAGCCAAGTTTCCATTGGTGGCTTGCCACCAATTGTGCGACCATGAGGGTCCCCTCACGTGTGACTTGAGGTGTAGTTGCTTCGATGTCCTCGGAGCCCTGTTCACTGAATCCTTTCATCACATGTCTTGCATTGGCCTTGCATGGTTCTTCAGAATCCCTCTTGTTTTGCCGGTTCGACTTCGTGAGGTTCCAGCGGCTTTGGAGTAAGAACCAATCTGCTTTCCATGATGCGTTGTGGCATAGTTTGTCTAACCTTGGCGGATTCTTCCGGGGAGACGATCGAGTAGGCACCAATGTTGATGTTGTTATTGAACTCCTTGCCAATCGCTGCCTTGAAGCACTTCTGGTTCTTGTTGCTGAGTTCCTGAAAGCGAATTTCCTTTCTTTGTCTGGTTTTCATCCAGTTTTCCACTTTGTTCATGTAGATCTCGAGGTACTCGTGTCGTAGTCGTTTCGTCGGTGGTTGTTCCTGTCGTCCTTCATCATTGAATTCTCTTTTGTTGGTTTCTACTGACTCCTCTGTGTTGGTGTCTGCTGGTTGTTCTTCCTGCAGTTCCCCTTGAGGAAGCATCTTCTTGATCTGGACATAGATTCTCTTGCGGTGCCTTTGTCCGACATCTCTTTGCTGGAGGTGGATATCCGAGCGGTTCTTGAATTCCTTCTGGTATTGGAGCTATTGGTAGTTCCATTGATATTCCTTCTGGAGGTTCCGAAGGTTCGTAGTCCATATCATCTAAGGCTTCATCCCCGGCTTCTGGAGGGAGTGGTTGGTCAGATAGGTCTAGGAAGCCTCGGACCGGTTCGGTGAGGAGGTCCTTCTTGATCTTGACGATGTCGTCGAGCCATCCAGAGAGAGAGAGCCATGTTTTCTTCCGATGATGCCCTCCTCAGACGTTCCGGGCTGGCCTTGACAAGACTGGATTGGTAAGCCAGCCAGATGGTGCTTGGTCGGTCAATCATGATAATGCGAGCAGGTCCTTGCCAATATCCAGGTCGGAACTTGAGTTTCTTATCTGCTCCCATTCGGTAGAAGTAGACAATTTCGCCGATGTCATAGTCCAGAACTGGCCTTGGTCCTGAGGAGATAGCTCTTCTCAGGGCTGCATCGGCATCTGCTTCGATGAAAGCTTGTGCTGCAGCTTGTCGTAGCTTCATGGATCTCTCAATGGCGAGATCCCCTATCTTTGGTGTAGGGACTTCTTCTCTGTTTCGGTGTCCATCATCTCCATTAAGTAGTCCTCCAGGTAGGAATGGGTTGAAACCCAATACCCGTTGACATGGACTGAATCCGCCCACGTTCATCATGCGATTCTTGGTCATGGTGGTGATGTCGACCAGTTCTTCCCACTCCTGCATATTGCTACAGTTGTAGGTGTCCTTTGTTTTCTGGAGGATGTACTTGAATGTCTTTCCGTGGCGTTCTGTGATACCCCTTTGGTGAGGGGCCTCTACTGCAGCTGGATCGATGTAGGTGCCATTCTGCAAAAGTTCCTCGAAATTCTCTTCCGAGGTCCAGAGCCATTCGTTTTGGTGGCCCGAATAGCCTAAGCCAATGCCGATAGGCTTCTCGGACTTGTCCTGGTTTCTTGTTGGGCAAGGGGATCATGAGTTGGAACTTGCTAGACCAGTCTATCACGTTCAGTGCTGGTTTGGAGCGGTTGCCCAATGTTGGCAGGTAGACAACGTCCACCCCAACACATTCGTTGAAACTGAGCTCCTTGGGTGGAGCACTTCGACGGGCTGGCCGAACTTGAGCATGTCGTTGGCATACACTGGGTTTCAGCTGCTTTGCTGCTTCAATGACCTCTGGTTTGGCCTTGGCATACCTGAGAATGCGGACAAAACGGTCTGGACTTGGATGTCCCATTCCCACATGCGCTCAGTGGAGTAGTCGGTCCATAGTGAACCGTCGTTCCAGAGGTAAAGGAGCATTCGGTCGTTCCTCATCATCTTCTTCCTGTTCTTCGCCATCCTCTTCTGGTTCTCCCACATGTAGTTCCCAAGCACGGTCATGTACACGGTCATCGGCTCGTTCTGGTTGTCCCAAATCGCTATCGCCTGGATGACCTTCGTGTTTAGGACCTGGAAGATCACATGGTAGTCCTTCTGGTAGTCGATCAAGTTCAGGTCCAGGATGTCGTGGTTGTCCAGGGTGTGGTCCTTTGTCATCTAGTGACATTTCGACGGCTAGAAGGTCGTTCGTTCTCAACGAACATCTGTTCCGATGTCGTGAAGTGGACCTGATTCCCGATGGAATGGGAGTAGGCGGCCAAAATGGCTGTTGGTGGCGAAGCCAGTCCTTTTCTTTGAGGTTGGCCAGATTCTCCACGAAGTCCATATTGGCATTGGTCTGCCTTCGTGTACACTACATTCGGTTTGGAAAGAAGCTGATCCATGGCACAGTGTTTCCACGAGGATGCAGCGTGTGGGTGTTCCAAAAGGAACTTGATGCCAAGATCATTGCATAAGTCGCACAACTCAATGGCAAAGCGAAGAAGCTGTTCACCATCTGATTTCCGTTTCAAGTACCTTGAAGAAGAGAAGGAACACGTTCTCGCTTATGTTTAGACAAGTTTTGCAACTGGGAATACATTTCACATGGCGGCGCAATGCAAACAAGGCCAGGTCTCACGTCCTGAATGTATTGTTTCACCTCGTTTCGTTTGTTTGTTTGCAGCAAGTCAAAGTCCAACTTCAAATCAAATGCATGTCCAGGAATGAGATTGAAGCGGTGAGCAATCTTTCCAAAACAACCTGGGTTATTAGTTCGAAGCTGTTGGTGTGTTAGTCCCATGATCTCAGCAATCTCATGCGTTCTTTTTGATCCTCTCGGGCGCAGGGTGAACTCTTCACAAAGTTCATGAGTAAAGCTTTTGATCCAGTCCCGCAGCGTCGCATCTCCATCATGCGTGTCTGCAAGGTACTGGATCTGCTTCCAAAAAGCCACAGCCTTCTGCCTTCTTGAGGGCTGCCCTTAGCTTCCTTTCAAGCTTCGGGGTCATTGGCTTGACGGGCCCTTCATTCGGCGCCAGCGCAGGAAGTCCATGAAGTCCTGGTAGTCTTCCGGTTCGGTCATCCCTTCCTGAGGTGACGTAGGAGTTGGTGTCGGTGGATTTGGCGGTGCCTCCGATGGACTGCTGGGAGACGCCGTTTCTGCAACCACGTTCTTCTTCTCCTGGCGAATCACCATGTTGCAGTAGCGGCGCGTCACCTTGGTCAGGAATGCATTCGATCCCTTCCGATGTGTCGCGGAATGAGGACAGGTTTCCTGGGCCATCCCTTCCAGCACCTCCGCATAGGATTTGGGGCTGCCGCCTGGTTGTTGGCGATACTTCCAACTGGTCACATCCTTCAATGGCTGACAGGGTGTCCATTGTTTGAACTCGCATTGCCGACCCTCGTGATGCGGGCAGATGAAGTAGAGCTCCTCCTCGTGGTTCTTGCCCGTGCTCAAGTGAAGCTTCACCTGGAGCCCGCAACGGCAGCGAGGTCGAGGTCCGGTCAAGAGGTCGATGCCCGGCAGGCTGTCGATCTGGTCGCAAGTTCCGGCTCGCTGATCATGGTGAAGCCCTCTGAGAGCTCGACACGACGATTCATCTCGTCCTTGGCCATCTTGGTCACCTGGCTGAGCTCCTCGTCGGACATGTTCTCGATCAGTCGTGACAGAACTCGTCGCTGAGATTGCGCCCCCATGATGGTCTCCACGAGGTGTTTGAACAAATACTAGTGGGGCATGAGAACAACTAACAGTCGACGAGTCAGCTGGGTCCACGCTTTCACCGCCTTGTCCTCAGGGTTCTCCGGAGGAGTTTGTCGGCTGCGCTTCTGGCCGGTGTTCTGCATGGCGAGCGGAGGGAGCAGGTGAGGTCAATGCCGAGGTGCCTTGAGACTTGTCAGGCTCCGGCGGTTTCAAGCATTGTTCATTCAATTTCAAGACCTCGAATTCTGGGAGCGGCTTTCCGGTGTCACTCGATTGGGCTCTTTGTAGTGCTGTCAATTGAAGGGCAGTGAACTGTTGTAGTGGAATACGAAGTGCTCCAGTTGGTCCAAGGTGTAAAGGAACAGGTTCATGGTTTCTGCGAAGTCGGAGTTGGAGACCTTTTTCAAGACACAAACCTATATCACCATGACAATGAAGCAGGAAACTGAGGGACAGTAGAAAGGGAGCGTTGGTGCTCTCGTCGTTGTCAAAGGCCGCAGGTTTCAGGAAACTGCCTTTTGCTCCGAGTGAGCTGGGAACATTGGCCACCTTAGTAGTGATCGACGTTTGATGAACGCTCCTGAATTTGTTGGTCTCGGAGTGAATCGTGGTCCTCAGCTCCGGTGGTAGGTGTTGGCTGAACTTCTTCAGGGTCGTGGCTCCGATTGCCAATCTCTGACATCCAGTATCCACGGTGGCACAGGTGGCATCATCTGGGGGATGTTGGGAGTACTGGGATACCAGATCGCAAAACATGTTCTCATAGAAAAACAAATTGCCCATACCAACCTGACAAATCTCATCCGTCCCCAAACTCACAACAGTGTCACTCTCCAGCGATCGGACAGTGATTCGATGCCCTAGCTAGGTCTGTACAGCCCGCGTGGTCTTCAGTTGAAGTCCTCAGAATGGTCTTCTCACCAGACCACAGGATGATCGGCTCAGATGTTCTTGTTCCCGTCATCTCAGAAGGCGAGGAGCTGGTCGGGCCATGGCTGGAGAGGTTCTGGTAGTTGGAATTCTCAGTCTCCAGGCTGCCCACAAAATGCACCTCGGGTGTATTTTCTAGGTGATGCGTCTCGTTGGTCCGAGTCGGATTCATCGAAGACGAGCTGCCAGGCTTCATTGGAGGATTTTTGCAACCCCTTTTCCAGTGGCCAATTTGGCCACACTGTCGGCAGCGTGTTCTTTTCTGTAGCTCGGCGATGGTCACTGAGTAGGATCCGGGTCGTAGAGGTCGATCTCAATCTCCTCGGTTCGAGCCACCAAAATTCGATCGGCGGACGGCACCATAGCCTCGTGCAAGTTCCCTATTTTTCTTGTCCTTGATCGACTGGGCGTAGGTCTTCTTCTGTTGGAGATAGGTCGAAAGGATCTCGGCGGCCTCAGACTCACTCAAAGCGGTAGTCTCTGAGTTTCCGTCGTCCTGCAACTCCATGATATAGTGCTCGATGTTGTCAATCTCCTCCTGGTCTGTGCTGTGCTCCTCGTTGACCTCCTCGGTGGCATAAACACCGTCATAGTGTGAAAAGCGTCAGCTGTCCTCTTACGATCAGCTCCAAGTTCTGAGGCTGACAGCTTGGTTTCATTCTTCCTCAACCAGCTTTTGATGGAGTTGGGCTTGATGCAGCCGTGGGTATAGTTCAACAGAGCCTTGGTGTCGCTCTCGGTCAGCTGCAACCCGTTGATCATCAAGAAGCCTTCATACTCAGGTGGGAGCACAATCTTGTGCTGTTGAACCTTGCGGATGGCTTTGTCCCACTTGGCGAAGTATTCCCTCCTCTTGTTGGTCATCTCCGAAACGTTCGGGCTTGTCCATATCTTCGAGAAGACGTTCAGCACCTCGTGGGTCTCAGAGCCAGGCAGGATCTTTTGCCCAGTGCTTGTACAGCTCGAAGGGTGCTCCAGTCAAAATCTTCAACAACAAGGGCCCTCGCGACTTGGCCTTGTCCTTGGTCGTCGCGAACCACAATTGGGCCTTGATGTGGTAGTCCTCGAATGGAGTTTGTCCATCCCAGGCCTCTCGGTCGCTCCCCAAAGCGTCTTGCGCGCCCTGAGCCCCCATGGAGCCAGCAGTTGGTGAACCGCCGCCGGGTGGTTCATCCAAGTCGCCATCTGAAGGCGGAACAGCCTGCCTATCGGCCATTCCAAAAACCTAGACAGGATGGAGGCTAGAGTCACCCCAAAAACCAGCCCGGTCGGAACCGGGCTCCGCTACCACTATGAAATTGAGGGGACCGCAACAGACCCAACAAGCAAGAACGAGACTCTTTTCCGGTGGACACAAAGCCTCCATCGAGTCTCTGGCTCCTAAGTGCTTGCCTTGAGTCGAGCATTGGGCGTCAGTACATTTTCACAGAATCATTTGGATGTCTGGAAGATGATGACTTTGGGGTCTGCGCCCACCTGGCCCATACGCCACTCGCCGATCTGCAAGAAGTTTCCTCCGGCCACGATCCCAGGACAGCTCCCAAAGTTGTACCTCAACTGGCCTAATGTCTACAGTACCTAAAAATACAAAAATGTGTTATGATGCCTTTAAAAGTACTATTGCCTTCAAAATGAACACCCAAACTCCAACCAAAACCTGGGGTCACCATCACCTCTCTGGATGACCCCACCCCAAACAAAAAGAGAAAACGGCCGGTCAAAATTTGGGGGAAGTCGCTGGATGTTACCGCAGTGCCACATGGGATGCCTGTTGTTCAGGCTCCAGTCTGTGCGAGGTCCTGGATGCATCGTCCCATCCGATCGGTAGATCTGAATTGTCATCCCATCCTTATGCGTCACCGAGAAGTGTCCATCTTCATGGCTCCACCCACTATCCCCCAGCCGAAAATCTCCCAGCTCCAAGAACTTCTCTCCGAAGGTGATGCGCGTGGCGGGCCCCACGCTCCGGCCCCACAGTCCGAAGTCCGTGCGCGGACCGGGATGAAGCGTCCCCTGCGCGTTGAAGATCTGCGCCGTTTGGCCGGACTGACTGGAGATGCTCAGGTGGGTTCCGTCCACCTGGCCAAGACGGAAGCGGCCGATTTGGACGAAGCCCCGACCAAAGGCAATGCCATAGGGATACCCCAAGGGCCGATGCCAAGAACCAAAGTCATGACGAGGACCAGGATGAAGTGTTCCAGCTGCATGGAAGATCTGTGCCGTGTAGCCATCCTTGTGCGAAATGGAGAAATGATTGCCATCGATATCAGCCAAGCGCCATTCTCCAAGTTGAATAAAGCGGTCCCCAAAGGTTCCAAAGTCCAGGTTGCAGGCGCCATGCGCGATTTCTTCCAGGCTTTGGCATGTCCAGGCCACTGGATGCCGACTCTGAAGGGTGTAATCATCTCTGGGCCCCGAATGGGTGGTGCCATCAGCTCGGTAGATTTGAATCGTCTTATGGCTCCTCCCCGCCGTGTGCGACACGGACATGTGAGTGTCATCCACCTGGCCCAAGCGGAAGAGGCCGATCTGGATGAATTGGTTCCCCAGCGTCACCCCAGAGGCCGCGCACTCCGGACGATCGAAGGTGTGCATGTCCGTGCGGGGGCCATTGTGAAGGGTACCGTCCGCGCGGAAGATCTGACTGATTTGCCCTCCCTGATGTGTGAGGCTCATATGTGTCTCATCATAGACTCCCAAGCGCCACTCACCAATCTGAATGAACTGGAAGCCGAACTTGATGCCCCTGGAAGCACCAATCGGCCGACCCCAGGAGGTGTAGTCATGGCGGGGGCCAGCATGAACGGTCCCATCTGACCTGAAGATCTGTGCTGTATAGCCACCCTTGTGAGACACTGAGAAATGCTGCCCATCGATATCCCTCAAGCGCCAGTCCCCGAGCTGAATGAAACGATCACCCATGGGAACCGTGTGACAAGTGCCAGAGGCTTGTGGCGAGGGGTGCGTGGTCTGATGCTTTTGCTCGGGAGCCACCTGAACCACCATGGGCGACACTGGCCTTCCAGCGCTTTTACAGCCCAGGTCCTGGAAACAAAGCTTGAAAGACCCAAGCAGTAAGGCTAACCACCATAGTGATTTAAAGGGAAAAAGATGGAAAGAAACCCGTTTGCAACGGGGGAAAGGATGAGTGTTCGGTGCTTCAAACCACTTTGACATGCTGTGGATATGGTCAAAACTCATGTTTATAATATAATTGCTTATATACAGTAAGTTTTTTCGGTGTGTGGGCAGGCCCAACGATTTCCACCTCTGTGGTCAGTTATGCCAGAAAACTTGAGCTCGGCTCTCCTGAGAACACTCCGAGCTGTCAAAGCCCGAAGTCTTGAATGCTTCGATGCAGAAGAGCTTGGTGGGCGCCAGGAGTTGCGAAGAAGGCGTGGTGAAATCCAAGTTCAAATCCGGGATCAAGGAGCTCAGAGTTCCTGAGACACTCTCAGCATCTCTCAGCCATTTTTTTAAAGCACAACACCTCACAACTGCCCGATCCCCCCAAACGGACTCTTTTGGGGAAGGTTCTCCAGAGACCAATGACGAAAAGGCTTTTCAGATTGGTCTGGAATATGGCAGTTTGGGTTCGAAGTCTTCATGATCCTTGACATCCACCCCTTAACTGGGTGTCAAGAACTGTCCCTTCGACCAGCCATGCGAATTCCGGAAACCACTGCGCGGAAGGAAAACAATCGCATGGTCCATAACTACGATGCGCAAGTGATGCCTTCGAGACTCATGTGTCGGACATCGTTGCGATCGAGTTGGATTAGCACTGGCACGGCTCATTTTTGAACTCCGGGCGATGCGGTGAGATTGCAAACTCGTCGCAGAAAAAAAAGATTTGAAGAACATCAAAAGCCGACTTTCTAGCAAAGGACCAACTTCTCGGGCTGAAATCAAGGCAACCAGGTCAATCACAATGCCTCTCTGACCAGGAAAATCTATAGACCATACAAATACAAACAGACATGAAAAGATATGAAAAGCACCCCGTTTGGTGGTATAGAAACGCTTGTAGAACCTCATGCCTCTTCGGCCTTGGACTGTTTCCCAACTCCCGCAAATCAGCATGTTTTGAGCTCGTTTCACTGATCAAACACTTCGATCAAGCTGGCTTTTCTTGGGTTGTTCATGGGTTCCCTCCGGCAACGGACAGTCGAAAAGCGGGTCCAAGCGGGTCGAGGCTCCAGCGGCTGCAAGGGCGGCATCCATGACCTGAAGATTTCGGAAGCCACGAGATTTCGGAAGATCTGCTTGAGCAAAGATTTCCAGAATGCTGGTTTCAACAAACACAACACCAGAATGCAACCAGGTCTTTCCAGCCTTCCAATCTGCTGTTTCCAGAAGATCTGCTGTTTCAACATGTTTGAACCGGGTTGGAGGTGAAAGTTGAATCCGGTGATTTTGCACGATGTGGCCATAGCACTTGAGAGATCGTCCGTTTTTGAGGCTGGAAAGAAGTGGAGGATACAAAGTTCTCCTCCCAATTCATCTGAAGCTCATCAATCTCCCAATACCCTCCAACACCGATCCGTGACCTCCTCACCTAATTTTAAATATCTAGAACTAGAATCCCTTTTTTACGGATGGGTGAAACAAGAGGTTAACACCAGAATCTTTGTCTCGACCTCATCAGACGGTCTCGTCCAAGTGGCCAGATCAACGGCCTGACTGGCACCCGGGATGCACTGGGTAGGGCCTGTGACCATGGCTGCAAACATCCGAGCGCCCTGCACCAAGCGTTCTTTGATGGCGTCCTCAAAAAGCGGGCTGCCCTGAACATTCACCAAAACTCATCATCAGTTTTGGAAAAATCCCCTGCATGATGCGAAGCCACCTGCATGATGCGAAGCCACATGACCAGGACCATCGCACCATTTTGGCGCGCTTTGGGTGTGGAGTTTGCGAACTGGAACTGTGGGGACATGAGTCTGAAACTTGAAAACGAAATTCGGAATGTTTCGGTCACTGATGCATTGGGAATCCTTGCGAGACGCATGGTTTCGCCAACTTCCTCTACCTCTACACCATTGACCACCTGTGACGACTCTCCGTGACCGCAGCCTTTCAACAAACCAAGCAGCACCGCGGCCCAGAGCATGCAGGGCTGGGGGGCACACACACACACACACCGGAAAAAGGGTCCTCGATCCATGATGTGCCGAGAGAGAAGGACATGGGTTTGGGCAAGCCGTAGCCTTGAATATCCTCAGAACAGTCTCGAAGACATGCGCATGCTGGCAGTTCACACACAGAAACCCAAACACAGAAGCCGAAGCCAGTGTGCACAACAATGCGGAGCATCACGTTAACATCACTCATCTACATGACCAGTCCATGCAAGGCTGTTGATAGAAGAAGCTCAGAGCAGTTTCTGAATAGAAGAAAGACCCAAAATCTGCTGAAGCAAAAGCTGATGTCAATATCTGTATAAATGTTCAAGGCTGCAGCTCCACAAAGGTCAAAGGTATTGACCCGGCTGCTGCTGAGCTTGGATACGTTCGTGTGGAGTACCACATCCTCTTGTAACAAGGATCCCATTGGCATGTTCAAGGTGCCCGCTGCCCGGACCTCGGCATTCATCATGGGGTTGAAGGTAATTGGCACTCCCGGCATTGGAAAGACCACTAAGACCGGGCCCATGCCAACTCGAGTTGATCCAGTGGAGCTGACTGCCAGGCCCATGCCAAACTGATGCTCGATGCTGGGAGTCTCGAAGTCGGCATCGGCATGACCACGGGGGTTCACGAGGACCTTGCCCTTGATGTGGAAATCGGCCCCCGCCGCAAGTTCCAGAGAGCCGGTGATGACCCCCTTCAGCTCGATTTCTGCCAGCATTTGGAGCATGATGGAGATGCAACCGACGGGGCCGCAAACCACCTGGTGAGAAACAGTACAAGATAGCGCAAGTAACCAAGATCACAGGTTTCAGTTGATTGATGACAAATCACAAACCTCCAAAATCTTCGTTCGACCCAGCCCGGACTCCAAGAACCCTTTCCTCACAACCCGGTCCGCCTTGCTCAGCGGCTTCTTGGGGAAGCGCTTCTCCGCAATGAAGGCGCACGAGCCCTGCGCCGTGGCCAGCGCGGCCAGCGAGACCCGCGCCAGGCCCTCGACCGAGACTTCGGCGTCTCCGTTGAGGTTCACGCTGACGCCTGGTGCGACAACACGTTGCAAGCATCCCTGGTGAGAAGAACATGGGGTCGGATCCCGGATGCACCCAGAACTGCGAAGATGTTTTTCACAAAAAGGAGGTGAAGGTTGACCCGATGTGTCGACTTGTGTCGACTATGGAGAACAAGCTTGCGTTGTTGCTTCTTCATGATGATGCTAGTAGTGGTCCTGTGGGAGTCAGCTCGTCCCTAGAAACGGGTTCAAGATCCTCATTGCTGGAGGGACCAGAAAAAAGCCGCCGATCCTTCAAAACCTCTTGGGGCGCATGCAAGGTGCCAGAGAGGGGAAAGCATCCCCGACGCTGGTGACTGGAAACCATCGGCGACGAAATCCTCCTGTTGACTGAAACATATCGCCCTGATCTTTTTCTTTCGGTGAAGCTGGTAACTCTTCGGTCCAACTGCACCGAGCAGCCCCCAACCAAAACTCAGCAAAACCCTGCCTAGGGTGGGTGCAAACTGCACCACGCCCTCCAAGGACAAGGCCAGGCTTGTCTCGCAGGAACCCTTCGGCGCTGCCTGTTTCACCGTATTCAAGGCCACCTGTGGAGGACCGGCGGCTCGACCGGGTCACCGAAGAAAGGTCATGCTTTTGAGCCATCGGTCGGTCGGTCGGTCGGTTGAGCGCGTGGAGCGGAGTCATGAGGAGACTGTTATAGGGTCGGCATAGACTGTTTAAAGAATTAAAATTGGTCTGGACCACAGATCAAGCAAGAAATGCCAGTTTGCCCCTAGATCCAAGGTGCACTTGCAAGGGCAATTGTAGTACAACCTTTCATGCCCAGAAATGATTCTGCTAATTATCTCGTTTCCATTGTAACATTTGGCAGTTCGGAAACAATCAGCTTCCCATCACATCACTACATTTCTTTCCAATAGTTCTCTGATTGGCAATATGGTTGTCTCATGTTGTCTCTCAAACTTCCCAGCCGACTCTCCGTCTTCGCCGCAGCACCCACCTGATTGGCCTTCAGCTGATCTCCCTTGGGCTTAAAGCTCTGAAAAAATGTCTGGCCTGCCAAGAGAAGGTCTGGCCTCCCATGTTAGGTACTCTTCATGGCCAAATGTCTTGCACCGAACAACACACCACAAACATCCAAAATCAACATCTCATGTCGCCCAAATGGCGAACAACAACCAGCGGACGCCCACTGAACAACAAGCGGCTTGAAGGCCGAATCGTAGGAAAAATGCAACGGTGCGAAACTCGCACACGCTCCGCCAACATGACCAGGGTTGGACTACCATGGCTGATCTTGCCATCGGTCTGCAGCTTCTTTCCTTTTCAACCCGAAGCTAAGCAGTCCAGTCCGATCCTCTCTGGACAACACTTTCCAGCCAGACTCAGACGTTCCTGTACAGGTGAAACATGCCCTTACTAGACACTCCTGCAAGTGCGAGGCGTTCGCTCCTCCATCACATCTTCGGAAGAATCCGATGACTCCATGTTCATGGGCTGGTATGAGAATACAATTACACCAAACATCATCAAACATCCTTGATTGATCATCTTTCACTTCAGTGTTCATTCCCCCATTCTTCAGGCCTACAGGTCTCTCTTCGACGGCTTGGCTCCCTCCCTCTCGCCTGGGATCTTCACTCGGCCGCTGGAGCCGTCGTCGCCCATCTGGAAGGATTCTCCCCCCGCGCTGAAGCCGTAGCCCTTGGCGAAGTCCTCGGAGCCGGGTTGGAACGCGGTCGGAAACGCCAGGGCCGGGCATCGAAAGGCGTCGAAGGGAACTCTGAAGAGGAAGTCTCTGATGTTTGGGTTTTGGCAGCTTGGGGTTGGGGGCCGGTGGGTCCAGACTTTGCAGATGGGGGTTGGATTGGGGAACTGCAGGATCCTGAGTGCGAACGAGAGCGCCTATCCAGCCAACCCTGGCAAACAGGGCCTGGGCCTATATAGATGAGACATGATGAGACCGTGATATTCAATGAACCTGAATCTGGGGAAACCCACGGAACCCTGCGCGAGCCCGGCAACAAGGTAACAGTATCGTCACAAGCCCCCGGGATGCTTCAGTCTGGGGGACCTGCTTTGACCTCTTTCATTGCTTTCCACGGAGGAGAAGGAACCGCTTGCGCCTGGGTGACACGCCTTTTGAGCCGAACGGAGGACGAACTGGGCCGGTTTGGCGTGCACCCACTCATCCAGTCCGGGCGGCGCTGTCTGTCTTGAAACTGCATGTCATCGCCAATCCGGAGGTGGATATGGAGACGGAGCTGCCACGCTCGCAGTCGCAAAAGTGCCCGATGAGGATGTTGCAAAGAGAGAAGGCTTGAGTGAAGCAATTGATGAACTTTTTGATCTCATCCCAGGCGGCCTCGAGGAGGGCATACAAAAATAGCCCACCAAAAAGAAGCTCCTAGCTCCTAGGAGATATACTGTAATGAGTGTAAATTCCAAAGGAGGAAAAAACCGGAGAAAAGGATAACAACGCACCAAAACCCAGCACCACCCCAGAACTCCACCATCTCCCCAACCGCCACGCGTTGGTGACTCGTAGTGCCCGTATCAGGCCTTGGCCAGTCCCACGGCCAAATCCCCGAGCTTGGCAATCTCGCCACCCAGTGCATTGGCCGCAGAAGAGATCTTGTCTCCCAATTTGCTCCCAACTTTCCTGAGCAGTTTCAAACCAGTTTGGAGTCAAAAGCTCCTTGCTACCTGTAGAGTTGGGAGTTTCGGTAGCACAGTTGAAATTCAGTTCAGTCAGTTTAGACGGTCTAATCAACAAGACTTCTGGTAGCACGATGTTCCACGCCAAAGCGAGGGGTGTGTCTCAAAGCAACACACTTCAGACAGTGAAGTCACAGTCATAATAGTTTGATTCCTTCATGGCCAACAGCTATCTTTTGGGTCTCTCCAAAGAGAAAGCTCGGATCTATTCTCCAGACAGTCTTAGTCCAACCGCGATGTATCTCGCCAAATCCACATATCTCACCTGAATTCTCGTGCGCTTCGTGCGCCTTCCCAACCTTCGACCATCGGCTCAAACCGAGGGTCGCTCCCTGGGAGACCGCATATTGCGCCACTTGGAGCGCATCACCGGCCAAGTCCACGGCTCCATCCGCGACCATTTCACCGACATCTGCAACGAAATGAGTCGTGGAGACCACCGCATTGCCCAAGCTTTGCCTCAGAAGCTTTTCAAACCATTTGAAAGTTTTTAGAACGTTCAAAAGACACTGCAAATACCCCAAAATCAACCTCCAACCATAGACCCCTAAATTTACAACCAACCAAAAGCACCCCCCCCAATGAGCCTGTATTTCACCGTTCGCCTCCCCGGTCGCTCGGTCGAAAAGCCAAGGCGATACACGATGGACTGCCAGACTTCGTGACTCCCGACCGGGCAGTCCGGTGGAAGACCGGCGCCTTCGTTCCAAGGGAGTCGATGATCGATCCGGGGCTTGGAGTCGGAAGGGTTCGATTCCAGGCTACTTGGCTTCTTGCTTCCAGCGATGCCCTTTGTTACTAGTAAGGCCAGGAGCCCCTAGTGCTTCTTGCTCCCAGGCAAAAGGCGTGCAATCCGAGAGGTATGCTGGGGGTCTCACTTCGCGGCAATACCTCCATAACCCTTCGATGAATCTTCGATGCTCTTTCTTTTCTTGGTGTTTGGGAGGCCCTGTGGTTGGATTCATACCCAGGCCAGTGGCAGGATCAACAAACCGACCACGCCTTTGCTACCAACAACGACATCAAAACCCTTAAGAGCATCAACCAATCAAACTGTCACAGAGTCAAGTTCCGGATCCACTAGGGTGTACCACCTCGCTAGTCAGGTCACATCATATAGAGACCCAACTGCCACATGTCAAAAAACACTTCTTTGGATATTTCGTCTCGGATTCATCCCGGAAGAACCGGTCGCAACCGGCCCTGATCGGGGGTCGTTACCAGGGTCGAGGAGCCCGTGAGATGTTCACGGGTCTCCCAGCTCCGCTGGAGAAAGGAGATGGCTATGGCCCCATGGACTTGAAGTCTCCGACTCACTCACATGGAAGTGAATGAACTCATGGGTGGTTTCCACTTCCTAAGAGTGAGTCGGAGGGTAGCTTCTTCAGCGATGGTGAAAAAGAACATATATGAAAATATTGTCATTGCTTCACCCCGATCAAAGTCCTGGCAATCTCTCCAAAAATCTCTGATCACTGGTGGGCCATAAGATGAACCGGCCATAAGCTGAACCTCCTTGTCAGACCTCAAGATGAACAAATATACAGCAGGAGTTTCATCTTACACGTGCGTCCCAGGAAGCACCCCTTTGACTTCGCCACGCTGCGCGGCGCTTTTGATCTCGCTGGGCAGTGCGTCCACGGTGGTCTCTGCAGCCTCCACGATGGAGCTGCCCACCACCGTCGCAGCATTGCCCACATAATCGCCCACGGTGAGCCCGACGCTGACCACACCCTGGGAGACTGGAAGACGCACCAAAATGCTGTCTAGTAATGTCTGGATCTGGATCTTTCGAGACACTTGAAGCGCCCGGTAGAATTTGTTGAAAGGGGGGAATTGTTATTCTATTGCTCTTGTATGATTTGTGCGTGAATGTTTTTTCGGATCCATTGTCACAATTTATTGGACCCCCCCGCGATTTCGGTCACGCGCCGAAAAAGGCATCTGCTCGGTCCATCGTCAACAAATGGGTGAATCCGCTTTGGACGGGAGTAGGGATGGCAGGCCTAGGCACCTCAACTCACTACTGAAGAAAAGGAACTCTTTCCAATCTGTCCTACCTACCTAACTCCACACACCACACAAGAGTGTCCGCATCCGACACGACTTGTTGGCCACAAACATACGCACCAGCGGGGGCCTCTCCAATGTCCGTGGTCACATCAGCCACGGCGTTGGCAGCGGATTCAAAGCCATCGGCGATGTCGTCAAAAATCTTGGCCGACACCACCGAATCCAACCTGGAGGACGACCAGCGGCGGTCGAAGGGATCCGAACAAAGGGGTGGAAGAGTCGAAGAATTGGTCTTTAAAGGATATTTTTGAGACAACGACTTGGCCATGAAAAAGACAAAAAGTGCGAGTATATGAAAGTGTCATAAAAGTATATTTAATGGTTGTATAACTTGTATAAACGAATTATCCTTCTAACTTATTCCGTAATCTTAAATCTTCTTGGCTCGGTAAATTAGCAGTACCAGTCAGTGCTCGACCTCGCAACGGTTTCACAATGAGGGCCTGGGTTCTTTTAATTTTGAAAGACTTTAACTTTGGTCAAAGCAGCTTTCGAGAAAGGCCCCAAAAAGGCTCTCTTGTCGAGAGGCACTGGAAGTCAACAAAGACCCAGGGTTGAGGGTTTCAACCGGAAACAAATCTCAGGGGGATGATCATAATGCCCGTAGACAACACCGGCTAAAAATAATTCAATCCCTTTCAGTCTTAGCCCAACTTGGAAAGCTCGCTTGGAGACCAGCAACTCCTGCGTCCTCGAAAGGTCCTGGCGCCCTGCTCGGGCGGAGCGTGCCACCAGCGCATGGCTCACATCCTCCAAGTCTCCATCGCTGGGCGTATCTAATTTTGTTTTTTTTCAGCCACGACGGTTTGGTTCGACTTCCTCCCACTGTGAGAAGATCGCTGCACCATACATCTCTCAACATTCAAGAAGCACATTCCCCCTCCCCTATCCTCCCCCTCCTGTGCGGCGGAAGCCTCTCCGAGCTCCTCGGAAATGTTGACCTCCACTTGCCCCTGAGCCAGCTGTTTCCTGAGGTCTCCCGCGGTCTCCGCGCACGTCTCTCGCGGGGCGGATTTGGGGTGCCAAGCTTCGGGGGAGTCACGATCGAACGGCGGCCTCAGACTGACAGCCTAAAAACCTGAAAAGGCGGCTGGGGGATGTTGGAGATGATATGGCAACGCAAAGGAGCTGGAAAGTGAGCCTTTTGATGCCTTTTGGGGATGCACTAGACATGTGCGCTCACTCTGGGAGAGGCACCTTAGCAGAAAAAGGTAGTTGAAGATCTATCTATCTATCTATATATATTATACTGTACTGTATACGGTCATTTTCTCCAACCGCAAATGTGTTGAAAGCCGTTGACAATCGGATCATCCGATTGAAAGCACCAAGCGACACACGACACACGGCCATCGGGGCCATCGGGGGCTCAGATCTCCCGGCTGGGGAAATCCGAGTTTCTGCAGAAGAGCCGGAGCACAGGCTGCTCCCTCCAGAGAGGCATCACAGGTCTCAGCTTGGGAACTCAAAGTGAACGCTGCCCAAATCAACAGACCAAGAAGTCTCTCCATTGATGTGGAAGGGTTCGATTAGAACGGGCACCAAGAGATGCCCACCGGTAAGGCGAACTGAAAGGTTTGAGCCGAAAGCTTTGACCAGCAGGCAATGGAGAGGGCGACATCATGCGAAATCCAAGCAGAATAGAAGGGACAAGTTTGTCAGTAGGATGCACACCAAGGTTGTCCCAGCAACACCAGGCTGATTGAATAGTATGCATCAATGGGCCCACCTCCATGTTAAACACGCAGAAAAGAGTCCACTCTGACATGACATGTCCAGGCTCAGCCAGCAAACACTAAATTATGTTGAAATGCTTTGGTCAGGAGTCGGAAAAAGCTAGCAGTGTGAACCTCTAAGTTTCCATCAGACTATTCTGCAATGCTCTCTTCACTTTGTCTCAAGAGCTGCCAGGTCCAGCGGCAAAACCTGGCGGCAAAAGAGTGATCCGCGTGCGGATGCATCTTGCAACTGTACCACAAAAGACACAACCAGACGCCTGACAAAGACTGCGTCGCTCTCAACCGAGTCGCGTCCGAAATCGCCTCTTTTCCGTCCTTGGACAATGGCGGCACCCGATGCATCCGTCTCTCACGGGCCCTGACAATGGCAAAGGCTGCAGCCATGGCGGTTGCAAAGGCCATGCATCAAGTGCACGCAAGGTGGTTGATGGCAAACCTCGAGCGGACAGGAACGACCAACATGGCGGCAAACGGATGGGACTTTGTCATAAAGCTCCTTGCGTTTTCGCCAGCGCAGCCTCTCCAAGTCCACAGGCCTCTTCCACTTCCACATGTTTTGAGCAACTTCTTCTCCAAAGGTCGCCACAAGGCCGGGGAAGTTGTAAAAGCCATCTCGGATCAACTTAAAAGTTGAACAATAGGAGCAAGCTCTTTTGGCCTGACTCCAGAATGTCTTCCCATCCTCACCATAATACTGCTCAAACTCTGCTGAGCTATACAGCTTGCCATCCATCGCCACACGCTTCTCCACCTTCTCCTCCGCGCGGACGGCCGCAGCCGCGGACCCAGGAGGCGCCGTGCCGCACCCGGGAGGCGCCGAGCGGCAGCGGCGGCGGCAGCGCTTGCCGATGCTGTAGTGGACAAAGGTATGTTTCACGGGAGGACCTGCAGTGAAGGAAACGTTGGGATCCAATTTTGCCCACTTAAAGTGGCCGTGAAAAAGCTCGCGACACACCAAGACCTGACCAGTATTGTTCCTGTCACTTCAAGACGCGGCATCCTGACCTTCTTACCTTCGTAGATCCTTCACAGGTACACCTACGATCACCATAAATGTAGATGGTTGAGTTTCAAGCTGCCCGCCGTTTGCTTTGCTGTCCACCCCGGTCCAGACCAGGAGTGTCGGCCAGTCCGCCCACCCGGCCTGAAGCCATTTCCACATCGCCCCAGGTCTCTGACGCATTCTGCTCTTCATAAGGTGCATCGCCCCACTGGAAGACCGACTCCACGTCACTCACGTCGTCCATCTCGTAGAAGTCGCGGCAACGGATGGGGTGTCGCTGCTTCGCTTCAGCTCGACTTCACGGAACTCTTGAGTGTCTCCAGCTGCCAAATTCGATCTTTTAGTGTTCCCAAGGACATGTGCGTCATATGATTCATGTCAAAAACTACTATATATAGCCCTTCCTTAAAAAGGCGGTCAAAGGTCGAGTCAGAACGGTAGCAAGTTCGTCCAACTTCTGCGTCAAACCTTCCCCCTTGACCTCGAAGATCTCCCTGTGGCGACGCCGGACCGAGCCTGGAAGAAAAAACTCGAGGGCTCAAGCAGCTGACCGCCTGGAGGACTGGTAGAGAAAGTAGGGGAAAGTAGAGGAAAGGACCACTGGGTCTGAATCCACTGGGAGGCTCCTTGATGAAGTGAATGAGACTTCAAACTCAGAACCATATCTCTAAAGCATCAAGGGACATGTTGACGAAAACCGTCCTCAGCAAAGGAGGCCTGCAAAACACTCGCCGCGCAAGCCGCCGAACACTTCTCAAGCTTGCTGACAAACATGTTTCTGTATAAAGATCCAGCACTTTCTAGACAACACTGCAAACGCTTCTCTGAAGCCTCGTGCTGTTAAACAGCACCCAGGCGTACAGGTCATGAGAATCTTGCCAGTCTCAGTCTAAGCTATAAGGAGTTGTTGAAAGGAGTAGTTGTTGAAGAATCTATAAGACATGCCGTCTTCTCCTGTCGATTCTGCGTGGCATGTGAGCTGAAGCTGCAAGCGGACGGCCAGCCAGGCGCCAGCGGCGTTTGCGGAATGATCCGACTTCCCCAGTCCTGAGACTTCCCGCTGAAAGTGTTTCACCCACCAGTCCTTTACCCTCAGTCCACGGCAGTCCACGGATTCTTTTTGGGAGACCCAACACAAACTCCAGCAGAACTTGCTGGGCGCGGCGCGGGTGGGCAGCAGAGTGCTGTCCAACCCAACTAATCCCTACGAGTCTATGGACAAACCTCCAATTTCAGAGGTCAGCGCAGTGAAACTACCATGTTTCAGGTCCCAAGAAACTATAATTTAACGTCCGGTCAAAAAAGAAAAAAGAAAAAAGGTAAGGTCTTTCCATGTTCCAGGTCCACGTGACCATTTCGGCACAAATCATTTTGACCGTGCAAACGATCCCAAGCTTGGAAGTTCGAAGACCACCAGCGACCAGTTCATGCTGTCTGACTGGCAGACTCAATCAGACCTAGGCACAGCATGGCACAGCCATGAACGACGAGCGAGAATCTGTTGGGAGGCTGTGAAACAGCGCAGCGTATTGAAGTTCTGGGTCCATCGCAATCGATGCATCCACCAATACGTTTCATGGAACAACAAATGTTCGACTAATCGTCTAGGTTTGAGATTGGTAGTATGAGAAAACCTTGCACATCATTTACCACCATTTGCCCATAGTCGGTGGTGGATTGCCCAACTAGCACAAACAAAAACCGACGGTACGACTACAGACTAGGAGGCTTCCTACTACACTATTGGTACCTAAGCACCCAAGACGGTTCCGCTCTACTGTTTTAAGCTCGATACCAACCATTACGAACCGCCCACCTCCCAATTCATGACCTTCCATCTGCGCTGAACACTCATGACCTTGCGGGTGTTTCCGTCCGACACCAGTGCTGCCCACACCTCCCACACCTCCAGACACCGTCTCCCCCCCGAGTGGGATGCCCCTGCGGCATCTTCCAAACCGGATCTCCATCGGTGGACCTCGAGTGGTGCGTTCGGTCGTCTGGGATGCCAGGGCCGTCCGGCGCATTGAAAGGAACGAAGGAGTGAAGCCGGATTCCTGGCCCGGCATTGATTTAATGGACCGAATCCTAAATAACTCATGGTTTGCCAAGGATTTTGCACGACAAAACCAGGTCAACCGAACTCTTTGAATGTGTTTTTTTGAAGGCGACCGGGTGAAGAGGATGTTTGGTATGGCTGCCCAAAAAGCTAAGGGTGCGTTTTTATTTGGGTATTTTTTGCTGCGTTCGGGGAATGTTTTTTGCGGTGGTGGTTTCTCTAGAGTTCCTTTAGTGGGACTGGAAAAACGTTGTGTTTGGGGAACTTTTTGTGCGGTCGTGATTTCTCTATAGTTCCTTCAGTGGAACTGAAGAAACTATAGATTATATATACTACCTTCGGATGACATGGGAAAAAAGACATGGAAACTCACACATCTCCCTTGTCCCCTTTGTGTCCTTGTATAAATCCCATGTCATCAAGTAAAAAGGAGCCAAAAAGAAGATAATGATTGCCCACCCAATACAAGGCTGCTCTCTAAACGGTGCCACAAAAACCTACAGACAGTATCTCATCCTGTTCTACCTTCCTATAGTCACCGCAACACTAACTCAAAGATTGAAAACCAATTTATCAAAAGTGAAAGCAACAAAGACCAGAGAAAGAAAACATTACGATAGGGCCCGATAGGGAATCAAGAGAAGAAGGAAAGTAAAGGAGAACGAGCCTGTGACGACACCCCAGATACGAAACCTCACAAGGCAAACACATCCACCCCGACCCACACGTCCTTCTCAACAGACACCCTTCGCTACGGGAAAAGAGGAACCTCCTTCGGTTCTCAACGGGACCAGGTCTCATGTCAGGACACACCAAGGAACCAGTCTGATCCCGAAGAACTCGGGTCTGAGTGATGAATGCCACGCGTCCTGTTGTACGGATGTCTTCCACAGACCCCATCCGCGGAGCAACGGCGCTCCGGGGCAGCCGGACAGCAGGCCGAACATCAGCTCGATGGGCCGATACGCAAGCACCTGACCACCCAAGGTTAGTCTCACGATATGGTCCAGTTCTTCTAGGCGCTAGACTCACAAATGCTTTATGACTGTACTTTGCTGCATTTCTCTACTGCATATATTTATATACTTTGAAACTTGTGATCTACCCGTGTTTTGTGAGCATTTCCCGTCTGATACCTCTTCGAGGTAGTATCCATTCTTGCGACAAAGAATGACAAAATAAAGCAAGAAAGAAGTGAACGAACACGACCGAGCAAACAAACTAATCCACACACCCACTCAACAAACTATCACAAACCAACCCGCCCTCCCACCGGACCCCAACCAAAAGAATCCAGCTACCCACGACGCCCACGAAATCGTGCTGGGCCTTCGGCAAGCGCAGCTCCTTCGAGACCCAGCTGCCGTCCTCACGGTCGGAGCCGCTTCGACCCAGCGTTTCCTCTTCCCGGTCGGTCGGTGGGCTGGTCAATGGTCGTCCGGTGCCTTTTTGTTGCACAGGACGTCCTGAATCTGGAGTTCCAACGCCAAACCATGTGTTCGCACCTGGAATCCAGCAAGGTTCTGCGTGTAGAATCTGGCCGGTCCAGTCGAGAGGCAGTTTTTATGAAACCATGTCACCATGTCGAGGAAACTGCGCTCGCTTTCGGACATTCGTGATGCTTTTCTGAACAACATGCTATTGAAGAAATTGGCTTCTTTGAACAAGACTTCTCTGTAACAAAAAGTCTTGTAACAACATGCTTGGGAGCTTCTCTGCTACTGCAAAAATCCTGGTGTCCCCTTGAGTTTCATCAGCTTCGTCCTCCAGATGCTGGCAGTTCTCGTGGTAGTAGTCACAAACGAAGAGCGCCTTCACTCACGGCTTGGGCACCGGCTTGGCCGATGGAACCGCGGTCGGGTTCGACCGCACGCGGTTCCAAATACCACCGTGGCTTTGGGGTCCTCGAGGCCTCGAGGGTGTCCATCTTTCTATGGCCTATGGCGATGTCGTGTTCGTTTCGCACCGTCGAAACGTCGATTCCAAAACTTCCGAAAGCGGAAGTTTGGGAGCTGGCGAATGGGGGCCTGCAGCACCAAGACAAAGATCAGACGCCAGGGAATGCACATCAGCAACTTGCCCCATCCTCAGTCAGGGCCAAAAAAGAACGTACCAAAACTGTAAGACAAAGGTGTTGAACGTTGCCACCGTTCAAACTCCTGTCTCCAAACAAATTGAGCTTTGGACCGTCCCAGCCAGCCCTCGAACAATGCCTTCCACGACGCTGGTCCGCAGCGGACCCAAACCAAGCTCCGCGGAAGCTCGCTGAGCCTCCCGACCCTTGGTCCCAAACTCTTCGGCCTTGAACCTCTCCAGGGCCTGCTTTTGGCACCCAACGAATCACCCATCTACGGCCCAAGCCGCGTGCTTTTGAGACATGCTAAAACTGAAAATCTCGCATGGTGTTTCGCAGCACGTGCCGCCGCGTGTGGCGCCAAAAACCGAAGAAGGATATGTCCGCACCCCCTTCATCACCTTTTGGGCGGCTTTTTGGACACCTCATCCAGAAAATCCCAAGCACGAAAGTTTAGGTCACCACGGGTTCCAGTTCGACTTAAAACTGTAGACCATCATAGCCTTCCTGGAATAAAAAACCTGAGGTTCCTTACTGCTCGTGGCGGGATCCGGCATGGCATGACTCTGGCCTGCTGATCTGTCTCTGAGTCCTCCATATTGGTGTCGAAATTGGGAAGGTCCTCGCGTCGAACGGCCGCCGAGGTCCGAGCACTCGGCCACTTCGCGGTGCATGGCCGAGACGCAGGGGGGCCACTTCTCCTGATAGATGGAGTAGACTTCTCCAGATGACGGTAGACAAATGGCTGAAGTCTACTCCATCTATAGATGACTGTAGATGGAGGAAACACCTACTAAACCCACACCCTGCCCCCTGTTTTGAAGTCTTCTCCATCCAATTGCATATTACAGGACACTTCTTTTGGGCCGCGTGACAGTCAAACCCTTGGAGGTCGGAGTTACCATCCCACATCCTGGGCATTGTGAAACATGATGCAACGAGGCCACCACAGCTCACCTGAATGTTATTCATGATGTGCTTCGTCAGGGAGGTCGTGAAGCGATGGAAGACCTCGCCAGTCGAGGCCGAGATCAGTCCGTCAAGGCCCGTCCAAAAGACAGAAGCACGGTCCGGTGGAGGTACGGATGGTCAACGGAAATGGGTGATGGTGATCATACGGTGATCATGATCATCTCAAATGTCAAGGGCTTCAATTTCAACGACTCTAGTAGGAGACACTTTGGATCCATGAGGGAGGTTGGTTATCTTGACTTGAAAAACGCAAAAAGGATGTTGACCAAGGCTTGGCAGTGAAGCCTCTCACTAGGAGTCGCTCCTTTTCCCCACCTTCTCCAGGCCACTTTGGCCTGGAGAAGGACTGTCGTCCACAGGCTTGTGGCTGGGGCAGTGGGATCTGTGAGTTCCTGGCCATCTCATCAACCTCCAGCACAAACGTCAGGGCCATGGCATTGACAATCATGTCCACCTGCAGTGAATCCAAACATCCAAACGCTCGATGCTTGATATCCAAACGTGCAGCCCGGCACCCCAAACGATCTGGCCAACTGAGGGGGCTCCAATTCAATAATATGATCTATGCCTTGGACGAATGACCCAAGGTGGTGAGTTCTCTGCTTTTCTGTCCAAATCAGTTGGGCCGAAAGCCATCTTCGTTTTGATCATCGAAGGACATGGCAACTGGCCGAACGCTTCAGAAGCTAAACCTCAGCACCCCACAACACGTCTCTCGCCAACGGCCATC